GGAAGAGCGAGCCGGTCTGGCTGAGGGTGGTGACGACGGCCCCTCCGCTCTAAGGGGAAGACCAGAAACCCTTTTAGCTGCAAACGTAGCCTGGTGTGAAACAGCTACGTAGAAACACAGAACTGCAAAATGAAATGTCGTAACGCACGCGCAATGGTCACGGATCGATTTTAAATGAGCGCGGTGTTTTCTTCCTTGATCTTACAGTTACTTCAATTCCAGAATTCTCTATAATGGGCTTATTTCAATGTTCCTACCCACACCGACCCTGGCTACCCCACATACACGCGCAGCACAGAGAACACAGAGCTGGTGCTTCCAGTGCTGGCATTTAAATGTCTCATTCTTACCTATAAACGGCTTCCAGTTGCAAACAACTGAAATACATTAAAAAAGGCCTTTTCTGTATACTATCAGCTCCGACCTGGTAGAGAGATTAGCACCCAGGGGACTGGAAAAGAATCGGAAGGAGCTGATGTCCAATAGCAAAAGGTTTAAAAGCTTTTTTTAAGGAACTGCAAGTTGTCATTAGTTCAAACACATCATAAACCAAGGTGGTATTAAGCATTATTAAAGACCGCTGGCTCGGGAAGGACGAGGCATAAACGAGCATGGCCCGCTGACCAAGAGCAGCACTGTCGTATGTTCAACCCGTTCTTCCTCCCTTCGGGTGACATCAGAGACACTGATGAGATACGAACCCTTACCCACCGCCGGCGCTCACGCTCCGCTCCGCTGACGGAGCAGCTCGATGTTTGACTTGCAGCCTTACGCTTACCGGTGTGTCGCTTTAATTGCTGAGAGTAACGCACCCGAAGGCAGAGCGCGAACTCACCCAATCGTTCATCATCATCTTCCTTAGGTTGTACACCAGCGTCAGCTCCTCAGGAGAAACCTGGTGAAGATTGCCTTTATCAATTCTTTCCAGCAGTTTGTGAGACATAAATTCCTCTCCCCCCTACTTTAAATTAGACTGGGGGGATCATTCACATCATTTGGGAGCGTTTTTTTCTTTGTTGGGGTCAGGGTTGGGCCCCTCCCTCC